TATATTTATATGTAATTATTATCAAATGCCTCCAGCTTACAGCAGTATGCCAGAAAGACTTCAGTAATCAACATAATTCTACTTTAACACGTGTTCTCATCAATTGAAGAAATTATCTCACTTTTCAAAAAATAAAGTACACTAACCTACAGGTTAGTAATGAAACATATTCTTAATTGGACCAAATCAGACCTCTTCCTGTGCATAAGCTTATAACCAGTTTTAACCCAGGGTTTTGCCCCCTTCCAGAGAACCCTATCACAGTTTCCTATAGCCCATTTACTTCCTTCTCCAGTGACATCTTTGTGAGCAGTCTTTGATTCTTTCCTCTCCACAGCAATATTTTCTCAGGAAATCGATACCCTTTAAAACAAATGCAGTAATCTAAGCATTAAATACTGAATTTTTGAACCTTTATGCCTGTATATGGCAAGATCACAAAACTTCAGACACCCCTACTCCTGTTTTATTCTCTCATTAGTTTTCTACTTTTCTCTACCTTTTAATGGTATGACCCATATGAGGAAGCCATGGGACTCACACTAGGGCATGTTGAATATCATGTTAGTTCTTAAATAGACATTCTACGCTCCCATAACTCTGTTTCATAGCTTGGCAGCATTTTGTTCCCTCGGGACTGTATTTTGTGACAGCTGCATCCTAAAATCTTCAATTTCACCTACATTTAATTAGTTCTGACTGGCAATAACTGCAATTGCCTGAATTGATCTGACTTTGTGAAACAGACTCTAGTTGAACGTTAGTTCAATGATGATAGAGTGAATTTTCTCCCTCTGGCAGCCAGATGTATAAAGTAGTAGCAATTTTTCAGACCTGACATACTTAAATCTTTGTATTTCAAAGTTATTTGCATTGGCTATTTTATGATGATTATTAAGTTTTCAGTTAACACTGAGAATGGTGAGAATTGAAATCACACATTTATTTTGTAATTAAAGATGTACAATGTCTGGGATGTTAAATGATAGTTGTAAAAAGGCTGTCGAGAAATGAAAACCTAAAGAACTGCAGATGCTGTAAATCAGGAACAAAAACAGAAGTTACTGGAAAAGCTCAGCAGGTCTGGCAGCATATGTGAAGGAAAAAAGAGAGTTAATGTTTCGGGTCCAGTGACCCTTCCCCACTTCTGAGGAAGGGTCCCAGAAACGTTAACTTTGTTTTTTCCTTCACAGATGCTGCCAGACCTGCTGAGCTTTTCCAGCAACTTTGTTTTTGTGTCTAAAAATGATATGGTTAAGCAAGAGTGGCTGCAGTATCAAGGTATTAGGCAGTTTAGCTCTGAAGCTACTTCTTTTAATATCTAGGTTACATCCCATTAGATCCAGGGGACTGAATGGCCTTTAGTCCATTTGTTTCCATAGCACGTTTTCTCTAGTAACCGTGATTATATTTATTTCTTCTCCCTTTTTTAGAATGCTGTTAATGTTTTCTACCGTGAAGTCTAATGCAAAGTATTTTTTCAACCTCTCTGCCATTTCCTAGTTCCCCATTATTATTTTTCCAGCATTGTTCTCTATGGGTTTTATGTTCACTTTGGCTTCTGTCTTCCTTTTTATATATTTAGAAAAGCTCACGCCATCAATACATTAGATTGTACAAGAATGCTGAAATAACTTAGATGTTTGTCGGATTAAGAGGATTAAAGAGACAAGAAAAGGAGAATCCATGGCAGAAAAATAGGATATGAACTTTAAAATCAGGGTGTTGCTTATCTCTCAGCTATTGTAGGACATTGAGCATAGGAGTGATGAGTGAGTAGGACATAGTCTGTTTCAGGATTGGGCAGAGGAGCTTTGAATGAGCTCAAGTTCATAGATGGATGGAAGATGGCTAGCAAATATTGGGAATGGTTGAGGACAGTAACAACAAAGGTGTGAATGAATATTTCACCATCCAAGGAGCTGAGGCAGAGATGGGCGATATTACAGAGGTGGAAGTATATGGTCTTCGAGGTGAAGATGAAGAGGGTAAGACATTGGAAGTTTGTATAAATAAGCAGACCATCTTCCAAATGGATGGGTGCATAGGCACATTATTAATAGTTCAATAGTTTGCACCAATTCAACTACATTCTAAATCCTTTGATTTCCCAGTGAGTTATGCCACGACATTATGTAATTTTTTAATCATATGTTATTAGTTTTTTCTCACATTGATCACAATTAATTGAATCATTCAATTCACTCTTTATTCACATGAATCATGATTTTCTTATGATTCATCATGAAGAATTGCAGTTAATCTGTTAGAAACATTTTTAAATCAAATTGTTAGAAGTTGGTTGCAGTTTTCTTCACCATTTTAATATTTTAATCTTGTCCCTCAATCGTCCATTTTGAATGGTATCTATCTTTTTTGTTTTCACTTAAGTTCCCTGAGTTGAACGTGAGTTCAATGATGATAGAGTGAATTTCTGTTTATAAATGTACTATGCTCATTAGAAAAGTATAATTCCTTTTTCGTCCCCAAAACTCAAATCTCAATGGATAACCAGAACACTGAACTTATCAAGAGGTTGTATTATTAAAATAATTTGTCTGAAGCTTATTATGGTTTTCGATCATTTCTTTGTGAATCACTGTGATCATTGTGAGGGAATCTTGAACTGGAAAGCAGGACAGTGTCCAGTTCAAGAATCAAATGCCAGCATCAAGCATAACCTAGCTAGGTGTTCCAAAACACTCCACATTCCATTGTGGGAACAGTACACCTGTTTGCATTGTGAGGAAAGCTTGAAGGCATCCTGAAGTCTGTCTGACTGATATTGAGAGTTTGTGCCAAATTAGTTATTCATTTATGCTTTGGATTCTTGACCCTTGGAGCTGCATTGAGATAGCAGAGCTTGTTTTATGAAAGATCTTACAACTAGTAGTCAGAATTAGATATTTACTGGATTAGTGTCCAGTTTTTCACCCAGGGTTGTAGAAGGGAATGACCAATGATGAACCTGTAAGTTAAAGGAATGGTGCACAGAGCACAATTTTCAAATAGTTTACTTGATCTTGCAGAATTGATTTGAGAAATTTAATTAGACTGCACTGTTGTATGAGCCATGAGCACCATCCTCAACATTGTAGCAATACAGTTACTGCAACTTTCAATAATATAGAACTTTATTTTATCTTCAAATCTTACCTTGTCCCTAATTTGTATAATACTAATTCCACATTGACTGGTTTGCTCTTTATCCTATTTATGACTAGTTCTTTGACTAACAGGCCTTGTGGCAAAGGGATTTATTGGACTATATATCTGACGACATTAAAAATGTAAAATTTAATGAAATATATTTCCTTTCCTTAAGGGATAACATCAATTTAAAAAGAACTTCAGCCGTAAAATGCTGCTTGAATCAACTATGTACATTTCATATATTCATTTCACGTGACTCATTTTCATTGCAAGATCTTTTACCTTTGTTCGACAGCAAGGAAACATTTTTTAAAAGCTTATTTCAAATTTGTGCAGCACAAAGTAATTTGTGGAGGTGTTACACTTCAGTGTAGACTGTAAGAAATAGTAACATGTACCATGTAATTGCATACAAACCAAATTCTACGTTTGTATTCAGGATAGTAAAATGTAGGGTATGGAGGTTAGATTGATCTTAGTAGGATAATAGGTCGGCACAACATCGTGGGCCAAAGGGCCTGTACTGTGCTGTACTGTTCTATGTTCTGTGTTTAATAAATGTTCGTTGTTATATCTAACATAGTTTACAACAGATGTTTAGAACAAAATATCTTACGATCAAAGTTCATTTATTATATAGAAGCTGTACAATATATGTACTTACAAACATATTGTGAAAATTTAAGGTACAACAATTGCATTGTTGTTTGTAATGGACTTAGTAGATGTCAGATATCCTAGCTGTAACAAAACTTTCCTGGCCCCCCATCTTATGTCATCCATAAGCTTAATTTCATCCAAACTCTGCTACCTGATCTAACTTTCTCCAAATATGTTCACCTATTATCTGTGGGTTTATTAGCCGACATTGTCTCTCCATCCAGCAAATTCAGATCATTGTTTTTAAATTTCTCCATTGGCCTCTGCTGTTTTTGCCCCACCAAAGTCCTCTAGCCTTTTAATGTTTTGAGATCTCTGCGCTTGGATTTCTAGGGTGTTTTGCATCTTCTTTTTCAATCTCTGCATCATTCGCAGTGGTGTCTTCATCTGTCAAAGCCCTATGCTCTAGAACTTCCTTTCTAAACATCTCTGCCTGTTTGCTTGCCTTCCCTATAATAATATAGTTCTTAAAATCTACATCTTTGACTCATCTTTTGTTCACCTACCCTAATAATTTCTCATTATTAGGTCAGTCTCAAATTTTGTTTGGTAAAATTTCTATGAAGTACTTAATAATATTTTCCTAAGCTAAAGACATTGTCATCGTTTAATAACTTTTAGGCTTAACACTTTTCAAACTTGTTTCTGTATTATTTTCTTTGAATTTCCAGTCAATAACTGCTCCAATTGAAAAGTTGAAATTTGCCACTTTGAGATATTAAGGATTGGGGAAAATTGTGGTCTAAAAAAATTTACAAATTAAATACCCAATGTGATTTATGCTGCTAATTTTAATTTGCTATTGTGTGGAAAATAAGTATATTTATAAAATGAAGAATACTGTATTCAAAGATGCAAAAGCAACGTTCTGTAAATGCTGGAAATCGTGAGTGAAAACAAAAATTGATGGAAATGTTAAGCAGATCAGAAAACATCTGTCAGGAGGGAAGGAGTTAATATTTCAGTTTGATAATCTGACCTGCTGAGTATTTCTACCATTTTTCGTTTTAATAGATCAAAGATTGTTTGATTACTTACATATCTTTTCCACATAAATTACACATGCGGCCCATTTGAAATATAGATGTTAATTGTTTTATGTCAACTTTGTAAAAATATTAGTAATTATTACCTGAGCTCGACTTTAGTTAGTAACTGGATTTTATCTTTGTTGTATTTCTCTGCAGGATTGGTCGTATGGAAAGAGATATCAGCATGAAGCGACAATTAGTGGAAGATCTTAAATCAAAACTGAAAACAAATCAGGAAAATGATAAAGTGTATAAAGGATTGTTGGAAGATATGGAAAAGAAGGTAATTGTTGTTATTGAGTTTCTTGATTAAAGATTGGGCATTTTTTGATTTGCTCAAAGATGCAGGACCATATTTTAAAACTTGCCTTATAAGTTTCAAAAAATCTTTTCTGCAAGCCTTTGCCCTAATGTGATTTAATTCCCCATTTGCCCTGTTCTACTGATCTTTGTTACATCGCTATGAAAAGTGCAAAATATAGGACAATCACATAATCAGAGATGAGAAAGATTGGAGATAATGCAGTGTGGAGCTGGAGGAACACAGCAGGCCAGGCAGCATCAGAGGAGCGGATACGTGGGAGAGAAGATGGACAGGTTGTGTCAGGTCAAGGATGTGGGGCTGAGAGGGAGGGTTGGTCATGGGATGAGACCAGGAGTGGGAAATTTCCCACCTATCTGACCGTCCCACCTCACTGACCAATCCCCTCCACTCCCTATCTGCACTCGCCTATCACCATCCCACCTACCTTCCCCAGCACCACCGCTCCTCTCTATTTACTTCTGCGCTCCCTTCCCCCTCCCCATTTCTGAAGAAGGGTCCCGATTTGAAACATCAACTTTCCTGCCCCTCTGATGCTGTCTGGCCTGCTGTGTTCCTCCAGCTCCACACTGTGTTATCTCTGACTCCAGCATCTGTAGTCCTTACTATCTCTGAGTGATAAAGATTAGAAGCAATTTTCCCAAGTTACTCTTCTGGAAGGGTAGCTCCTACTTGCAGGAAGTATAAGGCCAAGGGGAGAAAATATGATGGGAAAGATTACAGTTAAGGTTCTATGCTACTTTGTAATAAGATACTATTTCATACCTACAAATTATGTTTAGTTTATAATTAATTAATTGAAAAATATTTGACAGGAATCACAATTCAGGTCGTGTGCCACAATTGTAACATGTGGCGATTGTGGAAAGCATTGCAATCCCAGACAAACAGCTTCAGCAATTCTGTGCATCTTGAGGAAATTCGGGTCAGAGTTGTTGATCGAATTCTGAGGTGCAGATATTGTGAGGAAACAGGGAGGGGCCAAGTTATCTGAACACTTGGAGTCAGACGATGGTCACTCCATTAAGGTAGTGGTAGGGGTCTGGTTAGTGGTCATATACAGGAAGGTGTAACTGAAGATCAGGCACAAAGGGAGACCCCAGATGCCATTCTGGAGGAGCTTTGACATTTGTCCTTTCGAACAGTTAGTGTTCTCACTGCTTGTGTGGGTGAGAACAAAGTCTACAAGGTGGATGAACAAACTGAATAGTGTTGAAATACAGGAAGCCATTCAAGTGTGGGTAGCAAAAAAGAATGTTGTGGTGATGGAGTATTGTAGCAGGTGTGGAGGATGGCTCCTGTCTGTCACTAACAAATGAATGCTTTGCATGAGAATATTCAGGAAGGAATAAATCCAAAAATAAAATGAGAAATACCGAGGCTGTTATTTGGCAGAGTCAACCAGGTGGAGACAGAATACTTAACAAAGTTAATAGGGTATTAGTGATGAGGTTATATTAGGGTGAAAAAGATACAGATGCTGTGTTTATACAAAATAGTCACAACAAATAGTTGAATTTATTGGTTCTGATATCATAGCTATTTTGAGCAAAGAGTAATTTGGTAATATGGAACTTCCATATTACTTGAAAAAATACACACTTTGTCAAAACATTTTATCTTTCACTCATCGGGCCAATTTGCAAGAAATACCACTGTAAGGGAAAAACATCATTTATGCTCAATGAGAGGAGAGTTGATTGGGGAAACAACACCATAATGGTATTGTTGCTAGATGTGTAGTCTAGAGACTGAAGTAACATTCTGAGGACTGATTTTGCATACCACCATGGCAATTTCACAAATAAATTGAGCAACAACCAGACATAGTCATACTCAAGAGATTGTGATCGTCTTCAAGACTGACACATACCTCGTTATTTTGTGACCTTTTGGCAGAACAGACACAGCAGAGTAGATGGCACAGTTGTATGCAGTCAGGAGGGAGTTGTCCTTGGAGTCCTCAACATTGAATCTAGGACCCATAAAGTCACATGGAATCAGGTGCAGAATCTTTCTGATTAGCACATAATTCCCTTCCCTCAGGTGATGAACCAGTACTCCTCAATTTTGAACACCAATTGGAGGAATCACTGAGGGTGACAAGAATGCACACTGTACTCTGGTTTGGGGTGGCATCTTTGGTTTCTATCACCATGGAAGGTGAGGCAGTGCCATTACTTAGGAGTTGGTCAAGTCCTAAAGCACATAGCTGCTAGACTAGGTCTGCTGCAGGTGGTAAGGGAAAAACAAACTTGACCCCATCCTCGCCAGTCTGCCTGTTGCCAATGTATCTAATCATAATAGCATCAATAGGAGTGAATACCGCATAGTCCTTGTGAAGATGATGTTCTGTCTTCGCATTAAGGATACCCGCCATCATATTGTGTGGCACTATCCACGTGCTAAGTCAGAGGAATTTTGAACAGATCTCGCAAATCAAAACTGGACATCCATGATGTGCTGTGGGCCATCACCAGCAACAGAACACAACCGGTAACCTCATGGCCCAGCATATTGGCCACTGTATCATTATTGTCAAGCCAACTCTGGTTCAATGAAGGGTGCAGGAGTGTATGACTGAAACAACATCAAGCATGCTTAAAATTGAGGGGTAAGTCTGGTGAAACAATACAAAATCATTTGTACATCATACAGTGTAGGCAGAATGATAAATGGGAGCTAAGTGATTTCACAGCCAACCCTCATCAGATTTAACATCCATGGTTCTGACTCATCCAGTCCTGAATGCTGGTGGACAATTAAACAACTCACTGGAGGAGGAGGCTCCATAAATATTCCCATCCTTAATGATGTGGGATCCCAGAACATCAATGCAAAAGATAAGGCTGAAGCATTTGCAGCAATCTTAGCCAAAAGTGCTACTTCTCTAGAGGTCTGCAGCATTACAGATGCCAGACCTCAGCCAATTTAGTTAACTCCACATGATATCATGAAACAACTGAAAACACTGAATGCTGCAAAGTATCCAAGCCCTGACAATATACCATCTACAACAAGTACTATAGCGGTAGCCTTGCCCTGCACCAAGCTGTCCCAGTACAGGAACAATATTAGCATGTATCTAGCAATGTGGAAAGTTATCCAGGTATGTCCAGTACGCATGAAGCAGCACGAATCAAACCCAGCCAAATAACAGCTTATCAGTCTATTTTCAATTGCCTGTAAAGTGATTGCAGGGGTCATCAACAGTGTTATCAAGAGCACTTGCTCGGAAATAATCTTCTCACTGGCTCTCAATTTGGGTTCTGCCAGGATCACTGCTCCTAATGTTGTTAAGAGCTAAACTCCAGAGGTGAAATGAGTGTCTTCCCATGACATCAAAGCAGGATTTGACCGCCTGTAGCATCAAAGAGTCTTAGCAAAATCAGAGTCAATTGGAATTGGCAGGGAAGTAGAGGGAGACTCATCGCTATTTGGAGTTATACTTATCACAAAGGAAGATGATTGTCATTAGAAGTCAGCCATCTGAGCTCCAGACATCACAACAGAACTTCCTCATGTTAGTGTCCTAGGCCCAACCTTTTATATGTGTAGATATATACTATGGCTACTCAGACCCAGTCAGTTTAACCTCTGCAGTGGGTAAGCTTCCAGAGACAATGAGTAGGGATAGAATTAGTAGGCACATGGAAAACAGTGGGTTGATTAGGAGAGTCAGCCTGGATATCTAAAAGGGAAATCATGTTTAAGTAACTTGCTGAAGAGGTAACAAAAATGTCGAAGAGGGTAATGCTGTTGATGTGGTGTACATGGATTTTCAGAATGTATTTGATACAGTGCCACACAACAGACTTGTGATGACGGCTGTAGGTCATGGAACAAAAGAGTCAGCAGCAACTTGGATTCAAAATTCACTGAGTGATAGGTAACAAGAGAGTAATGGTCAATGGATATTTTCAGGCTGGAGGAGGATTTGTAGTTGAATTCCCCAGAGTTCGACATTGGGATGACTAGCTTTTCCTGATGTAGATTAGTGATCTGGATCTTGATGTACAGGTAACAATTTTAAATCTTGCAGATGATACAAACTCAGAAAGAATTGCAAACTGTGATGAAGATAGCGTAGAACTCCAAAAGGATGAAGATAAGTTGGTGGAGTGGGCGGATAGCTGACAGATGAGCTCCAATGCAGAGAAATATGAAGTGATGCATTTTGGTATGATGACTATTGAAGCACAATATAAAATAGGGAGTACAATTCTCAAGGGAGTGCAGGACAGAGGGACCTGGGAGTATATGCCATTGTTGGAAGTGGGAGAATAGGCAGAGAGAGCATTAAATAAAGTATGCACTCTCCTTGGTTTTATTAATGGGGGCTTACAGTACAAGAGCAAGGAGATGATGCTGAACTTATATAAGACACTTGTTAGACTTCAGATATTGCGTACAGTTCTGTTTGCCACTTTAGAAGAAGGATGTGAATGCATTGGTGAGAGTGATTTTTTTTGTAAAGCAGGGAAACAGACCCTTCAGTCTAACCAGTCCATGCCGAACATAATCCCAAACTAAACTAGTCCCACCTGCCTGCTCCTGGTCCATATCCCTCCAAAGCTTTCCTATCCATGTACTTATACAAATGTCTTTTAAACGTTGTAATTGTGCCCACATCCAACACTTGCTCAGGAAGTTCATTCCACACATGAACCATGCACTGTGTAAAGAATTTGCCCATCATATTTTTTTAAATCTTTCTCCTCTCACCTTAAAAATTTGCCTCCTGGTTTTGAAATTCCCCATCCTAGGGAAATAATCCTCATTATTTTATAAAATTCTATAAGGTCGCCACTCAATCTCCTACGCTCCAATGAGAAAAGTCCCAGCCTACCCAGCCTTTCTTTATAACTCAAGTCTTCCATACCCAGCAACATCCTGGTAAATCTCTTCTGCATGCTCTCCACTTAATAATATCCTTTCTATGACTGGACGACCAGAACAGG